CATGGAGCCAGCTGTGGGGTGGGAGGAAGGGATTAAACACAAAAACCAACAGGGTAACCGGAGGACAATGCGATAGCTCACCCCAGCGGCGTTGGTTGCGGTGGGACTGTGGGCAGTTCCTTTGAGCCCTGGGTCCCAGGCTTTGGGCTGTCCTGCAGCCCCAGAGAGGGGCGGCCGTCTTTCCCCAGGCGGGGGCTGTGTCCACCACCTGCTGTGCCCGGAGCGTGGGTGGAGGGGGCTGAGCTGGGTGGGGAGGGCGGGGTTAGGACAGGGAGCCACCTGTCTGGTTCTGGGGGCAGTTCTGACTTGATGTCAGGCCACATCCTGCCACGAGGCCTATGCTGCGGTGACACCATCAACCCAGGAGACACAGCGAGTAACCCCAATGGTGCTGCGTCCACCTCCAGGTGCCAGGCAGCAGCGACCTTGCTGACATCGAGGCATTGTCCTCTCTGCCACCCTGAGCGCACCTTTCTACCCAACCCACCCGACCCAGGGGTCAGCACAGCCCCAGGGCAAGGACAGGGTCCAGGCTGCCGCACCCCGGGCAGCACTGGGGCGCTGTTCACATTCACCCTTTCCGGGGGCTCAGGGACTCCAGCCCTGCGGGCTCAGAGCAGGTGGGGCACGTTCTCCTGATGTTGTGTGTCCGGGATGCAGCATCGGCTCCCACAGTGGGAGTCAGTGTTTGCACACAGAGGTCTGGCCTGGGGACGTCTGGAGCCAGCGAGTCCTACCTGCCACGTCCAGGTCTACCCGGTAGTGTACCAGGTGAGTGTGCATGTTGCCGATCAAGTGCGTGTGCAGGCGTGTCCCATAGCGCAGCCCCTCGGGCGTGTAGAAGGTGGCGTGCACGTAGCCAGTGGCGTGCATCTTGGCCTCCATCACCCCGTTGGGGTAGAAGATGAAGTCCCAAATGTAGTCATAGTTGTAGACCGTGGATGTCGTCCGCAGCACCAGCACCTGGCCCTGGAGCCCTGCATAGAAGTTGAAGCCACCCTTGAAGTCGGAGTCAAAGTGGCGCCGAAGGGGCACCCCCGTGGGCATCTCGAAGACACAGAGGGCTCGGGGGTAGTGGACAGGGTCGTCGGCATCATAGTAGTGGAGGGCATCCAGGAAGGTGGCCGTCTCTGGGCAGTCGATGCCAGGGGCCAACTCATGGGTGACGGTGCCCAAACCCCAGCCCACGTCGATGTACTTGGTCTGCATGCCCGCAGGTGTGTGGCCTCCATACAGCGCCACTGCCTCCTGGACGCTCACCTCGTAGGCAATGCGCTCCCCACCGAAATGCACGTTCAGCACCTGTAGCCCCGTGGAGGACCGCAGTCTGAAGGCGAAGCTCCAGCCCCCGTAGAGCACGGCGTTGCCCTCCAGCCTGTAGCGGGGGCCTTGGGGCTGGACCAGGTGTGGGCCCTTCACGGTCATGGGGCTGGGGAAGTGCCCGCGTGGCTTGTAGGATGAGAAGAGGGGCGGCTCCTCTGAGCCCTCGGCCCCCTTGCCCTCGGGGAGCGGGTCCTCCAGCAACACCATGTCCACCTCTCCAGCATCGTACTTCCGGGCCAGCTCTTCTGGGCTTCGGTAGAACTTCCCGTTGTACCAGACCTGCTCCACCGCCCAGTCCTGGGCGTTCATGCTGCTGTGGTCCAGGAGGAGCTCCAGGCCTGTGGGGTGCAAGTAGAAGCCTTCCACAAAGCGCTGCAAGATGATCCAGGAGCGGCGCTCGCCTGAGGCCAAGCCCTGAGGGGCCACGTCGGTGAAAGTCAGGCATCGGGTGTG